AGCTTCCAGTTATTTGCCATTCAGAATGTTTATCAGGCTAACATCTGCTCACTTCAGCTGCTGGCATTTCCAGACTGTTTAGTAGCTGTTCTTGCATCAACTTTTCCTTTGAAAGCTAAACAGTGGGTTTATGAATGGATTTATCTTGTTAGCAAAGGTAAGCGAAGGCCTTGCATTTTCTTCTCCAATAATTCCCAAGTTGATTAATGGCTTGATTCTAGTACTTTCTCTAAAGAGATGCAGTTTTGCAATGTTTCTGAGCAAAGAAGCTGAATTCCTCAAAGTGCTTTTTCAGGTTAATTCTTAAAGGAAGATCAGGAGAATGGATATTAAAAGAAGCACGTATTAAGAGAGAGCAGTGCTAAAAATTGCTTGAAAAAGGGGGGAGCCTTTGATAAAGTTTAGTGTCACTGATTACAGTGTTCCAGAAGGGAAAAAAAAAAAGACAGGAAAAGAGTTGGTGTATATCAGTTCTGACTTGGGGTCAAAGTCCCCGGGCTGTCTGGGAGGCAAAGCCTGTTTGTCATGATCTATGAGTGCCAATAGTCAGTGACCTAGTTTATGTATTTAGTAGCTTGGCTTAAAATAATGAGGACTTTCATAGGACATTTTCTGAAGGTACCAGATATCAATTATCACAAACTAGCCCTGGGACTCCTGCTAGGTTTGTCCAATGCTGCTGTTGGGCACCCAGACTAATCTCTGCCTTATATTCAAGAAATTGCTTGGATTCCATGTTGTCTCCCCCCACCACCCCACCTCTGCTCTGGGCATCCAAGCCATCTCCCATGTGCTGCTACATGACTCCCTGTCATGTTTACCCTTGAATAACACTGCGGAACACCTCAGAAATATGGTGAAGTGGTCAAAACAAGGGGTGGGACGCGGAAATCAGGGCATCCCATAATTGGCTTCAGTTTCCCACCAACCACTTTTCTTGTAGCACCTGTCTTTTTCTTCAAATCATCTTGTTTTCCTTCACCAGCACCTCCCCAGATCCAAGAAGAATTTTTTTCTACCCCCCCCCCCCAAATCTACACATATCTCACTGTTGATATCCTCCATGCCCCACTCACCATTTTTCAAAATTGGCTTTCAGTTCAGCACAGGGGGGCTCCTCTGGGGGAGCATCTGGAGTGCCTTGTCCTTTTGCAGGGACTTCTGGCTGGCTGGGACTCTGTGACATGCTGCAGCTCCTGGTCTGTGTGCTTGAATCTGCCCTGATCAAGGGGAGCGAGGAGCATTCTGGCTGGAGGCAGCCCTGCCCACCAGTCATGCGGGAGGGGTAGGCAGATAGGCTGGGTGGGTGGATCTTGGGTATGGGAGATATGCCTCAACAGCCTGCACTGCCTGGTTTAATTTGCAGAGCTTAGTTGGGAGAGGCACCATCTCTCCCGCGTGAGGATGGATCTGCTAAGTGGGAAGAGGGGGGCATGGATGGTGTCTCTGGTCTGAAAATGGCCTCAGGTGAGATCCAAGGAGACCAGTCCCTGCAAGCAGGAAAAAGAGCTTGCATGGGGAGAAGGTGATCAGCAGATGCTTGCTTGGAGTTTTTTATTTTTTGTACAAGTTCAGAATAATCAGTAGGGCTGAAGCAGTATGAAGGAATCTCAGGGTCTCCGGCCATCATTCCAAAGGAAGCTTATGTTAGCCGATGGGTTGGGTTCAGTTAGTGACTAAGCTTCAGTTATGATATGTGGACCAGGGAATATGTTTGGGGCAGTGTGCAACAACACAATGTCCATGGCCCATGTTGTTTCATCTGGTGAAGTGGAGATAGAGAATTTGGGAGTGGCTGGACTAATACATTTACCTAAAAAGAAAGAGAGGTGCCATCCTACTCTGCTGTGATGCCACCTGTACACAAGGATTGGCAGGCTGGAATTACTCCGAAGTGAATAGTGCCACTCTGCACAATGGTTTGAGAAACAGATCTCTGCCTTTTTAATACATAGGACTGAAAGCAAGGAATTGCCTCCGGGAGTGGGATTTTCCATAAACTTTTAACCTGCCTCAGATTGAATCTTGAAAGTTTGGTTGCTTCTGTGTGAGTGTTGCTAAGGTGATGAAAAAAAGAAAGAAAGAAGAGAATGTGAAGGAGAATTCCATGGTGATATAAAGTTGAGAATTTTGGTACACAGCTCTGATGCATTGTTACGTCTGTACCAGACTTTCCTACTGTGGATAAGAAATAGTACCAAGTAGTCCTCGACTTACAACCACAGGTGAACCAAAAATTTCTTTTGTTAAGTGAGACATTTGTTAAATGAGTTTTGCCCCATTTTACGACCTTTCTTGCCACAGTTGTTAAGTGAATCATTGCAATTGATAAGTTAGTAACCTGGTTGTTAAGTGAATCTGGCTTTTCCATTGACTTTGCTTGTCAGGAGGTTGCAGAAGGGGATCACATGACCTTGGGACACAGCAATGGTCAGTTGCTAAGCATCTGAATCTTGATCACAGGATCACAGGACCTACGTACAATTGCGGACCTGCGCCTTTTCCGCCGAGCCCTGAGAACTCATCTGTTCCATGCGGCCGGCCTGGCGTAGTTTTGATTGGGTTTTGTTAGGGGTTTTATATTTTAGAGCAGGCTTTTATGTAATATTTACTGTGATTTTTATTATTGCCTGTTCACCGCCCTGAGTCCCGTAAGGGAGATAGGGTGGTATATAAATTTAAAAATATAATATATATATAAAATATATATAGGGATGCTGCAAAGGTCGTAACTATGAAAAACTGTCACAAGTCACATTTTTCAGTGCCATTGTAACTTTGAACAGTCACTAAACAAGCTGTTGCAAGTCGAGGAGTACCTGTACTTGATATAGTGGGCTTGACCAACACAGCCCAGAACGATTGTTATTGTAGTTATTTGGAAGTTTCTCTGTTCAATGAGAAAAAAAAGTGCTTAGTTTTGTCCTGTGGTTTTATTAGTTGTATAGCCTGTTTTCCTTCAGACGCTCAAGCTGGCAGGCAGAGCACTCTCTTCTCCTCTCCCCTCCCTTCCACAGCAACCTTTGCAACAGGTGGGCTGGGAGACGTGATGTGCCCAAGGCACAGGTGGCTTGTGGCCAAAGCCTTCATTGGATCTATAGGAGTGAAGGGTGCCTCCCAGTAGAGATAAGCAGCTTTGTGTTCGTAGCTTAGCCATGATGTCTTTGGGTATGTAAGGATTTTTAAAATTGGTTATTGAACCTCTCGACAAACAAATTACATGGGCGATCTGGCAGCTCCACACAATCTTCTATGTGCCTACTGAGTATTAAGACTGACTGAATTCAGTAACTCCCAGGTACATGTGCATAAAGCTATGATTCCAGGGGCCCATGTAGAGTTAAAGGGGTGTGTGCCTCAAAGATTGCTAATGTAAATATTCAGTAAAATGCAAAGTTGTGCACAACTTTGTCTTAGGGCTGAAGAGAAAATATAAATATTCAACAGCATCCAAATAGCATCAATAACAACAAAAAAGAGAAAAAAACTTCAGGAAACATATCTTTGGAATGTGTTCAATCTGACATTATCCATTGTTTGGAAGAATGTTAGCTTACTTTTGGACGCTGTTAAAAAAAATAGTTTCAGGAAATAGAAAAAAGACAAGTAGTGCAGGACAGTGTGAATCTATGTGATCAACATCAGTGCACAGCTGTAATTGTCCGGGAATGCATGTGTTACATAAAAGCGCCATGTTTTCATTTCCCCTTTGATTCCTGGCCAGAGACTTGAAATTCAGCTTTCATAAAGAGATTGTGAATTTTTAAATATGGATCTGTGCTGACCTCTGGTGGTCAGGGAACAAAAATGAAATATTGTAAGTGATCCTAAAAAATATTTAATCAAGTATTCAGAAAAGCTTAAGTTTAACTTTTAGTGACATGGAGGTGTGTGGGAATTATAGCCTTCTTAAAAAATATTAGGAATGGAATTTTGGGGATAAAAATATGTTCAAAGAACAAAGAATACAAATATGTTAAGTATATCAAACTAAGGGTATTAATTACAGTTGCAGTAGCAATTATATAATTTGTGACGAGAATTCCAACAAGTGTTTCAAACTCAAGTTAACCAAATGCTGTAACGAAGCCTTTCTCAAGTCTATATTGAAGGTGAATGTGATTTGAAATTTCCCACCTGAAATTTCAATTTTTTAGTACTATTAGCTACTTAGAGTCGTATTTATTTATTTGTTAAATTTATTTGCTGCCTATCTCGCTATGGGGCTACTGCTTTCATATACTTGAAATGTGTAGCCATATCAATCTACCAAATAAATGTATTTATGTATTAGATTTAAACTCTGCTCATTTAAGATGGCATAGAAAGCACTCCCTTTCTACCCAACCACCACCACCTCAATAAAGACTTCAGGCCAAAGTTATACTCAAAGACTGTAAACCATAATTGCAGCTTAAGTTGGTGTCCTGATTTATACAACATGCTGAGGCATTGAATAGGATCCCCTAAAACCGAGTCACAAACTAATTGACTTCTGTGTAGCTCAGTCCACAATTTTTGTGTAATCCAACTGTAGAGTTGAAACAAGCCATTAAGAAGCCATACTTCACATCTTTAAACCATTTTTGTATATTTTTAATGTTACTTTTGTACAATAGCAATATTTCACTAGAAATGAAAGAGAGCTCAAAGATCAACCATTGGAAGAGGAGAAGATAAAGACTAGAAAATGCAAGCTGAACACAAAAAGAGAACAGATACATTTTATAGTGGAACTTTGATGGTCACAGGGAACTAGGTATTATTAATTCCAGTATTACCTTTCTCCAGTATAGCTTATTTAGGTCAGCCATAGTCATAAAGGCTTAGTGGCTGCATTCATATAAAATGCTATGCTTAATTTTAGTTAAGTTTTTTTAATGGCTAATATGTTGAACAAGCCCAGTCTTCTGATAAATTCAGTGTAGTGAGAGAATCCATGAATTAGATTATTTCAGGAACCAGGCTGAGCATGTATGAGAACACAATCATTAACCTGGCTAGAAGATCACTTCTGGGATTTGTGTACTACATGGAGGTGCATCTGGGATAGGTTCACACCTCTTGATCACTGTTCGTACCTGAGCCACGACTGCATTGTGACTGGTACCTTGGATGGGGGCAATTCGGGTTGCTCCACTATGATAATAACGAGTAGCAGTGGCATTGAAGGGAATACTTGCCCTCATTTTCATGCCACCCATTTCCAGTTCACAGTTGTGGTTGGGTGGGACTTCAACTTCAACTGTATCAGAGTAAGTGATCGATTCACTCTGTGTGTAACCTTTCGTCCAGTTGAACGTTTTCTCTGATGAAATGCCCCATGATATTCCAAAGACTTCAGGTATCCCTGCTGTCATTGTAAAGCCTATGCCCTGAGAAAAGGAAATGCCCACATCCCAGGTATGTTCAGAGGTCACAGTTCCTGATAAGGTGGTTGACTTCTTCACTGTCCTACAATCATGGTTGGTAACTTTGCTAGAGACTATAGATATGCCTCCCTCACTGTAGGATCCCTGGTTTAGCTCATAATTGACATTGGAGATGCTCTGAGAGCGATAGTCTTTATTAATGGTCAGGACATCATAGTGTTTATACCAGTACTCTTTACCATTCCAACCAAGGAAGAAAGCTTGATTTTTACTATCTACCTTCCCTAATCCATACTTATTTTTACCAACAAATAACTTTATACCTGCACAGGTGTTGATGGAATTGGGTGGGACTTTACCCCATGAACCCCCCTTCCAGCTTAGGGATTCAAAGTCATGTCCATTCACCAAAATCCAGAACTCAGAAGTGGAATATTCTTTGTTTCCATATGGGTAATAGCAATAAGGACCCCGGCTGGGACTGTAATAGCCAGCAGCACAGTGCAGCTCAATGCAAGGATATTCCCATCTGCCAGCATAGCTATTCCAGTGAGGCACAGCTCCGGTGGGGACAGATCCTGGGAACAAAGTCCAACTCATAGTAGTGTCATAGAAAACACTAACGTTTCTACTAGAATGTTGGATGTCATCATTCTGGTCTTGAGCACTGTAGGTTTCATCTGAAAAGAGAAAATATGTCAAAATTAATTTTTATGAAGAAATATAAGCATATTTTCTGGAGATCTTTCTCAGCCATGTCAGTAACATCTATTACTGTATGTCTATGGAGATTCTCAGTTGTCCAGGTCATGGTTGTCCCAAAGATTGTCTTCCTTTCAAAAGACAAGAAAGTCCAATCACCTTTTGAAAGACAGCACCTTTGGGTCTATTACTGTAGGATTCTAACCTTGTTCCAATCCATCTACTAAATCATGTATTTATATATAGGTATAAATGCATTCCTAAATTACTATGTCCAAGATTTTCTCAAGGGTTCATGAAATCAAAATTGAAGAATTATTTGCAAAAATATTAAACGATGCTACTCTCCTCATCATTTTTATTTGTTAAAACATGTACGTTTTTTTTAATAAAAACATTTTAAATTGATATTTAAAATCTTTCTGGGTCCTCCATAATTTTTGTAAGAGGGAAAGATTCTTCAAATCAAAGATTTTGAAAACATTGATCTATTGCAATTTTGAAGATTTTTTTTTTTAGGTTTCTGTTCATTTTAATGGAAAAAAGTTATGCTCTGGACTAGAATTTATGTATAATCCTTATATATACATACATTTGGGAAACCTATTGCTTGTATCCTATTTTGGGTTGTATTTGTTGTTCTAGCTGCCCCATATTTGGACTCTAGTTTATAAAATATGTAATCTATACACTAGATGAGGAGATGGCAGTCAGAGTCTTCACTTAACATTCACGTAATCTTGTACTTTCTCTTTCTCTCTTAATAGAGACTTGCCACAATACAACAGTTTACCAATCAGTCTTGAAGATTTCAGCATTTGAGATTCTTTATAGGAAATGCTATGAGACCTGCCTTATTCAAACACTCTATTTATTCCTTGTATTGATGTATGGAAATCCAACATGTTTTTGCTTTTCAACTACCAGAATTCCTCAACTAGCATAATGCTAACCCAGAATCTGATGATTTGTTGATCTCATACAATATTTTGGGCAAGTTAAGTTTAAAAAATTAGTTGCAATATTTAGGATACATTGGAGTGTTGTAAGCTCTGAGCACCATAGTGTGCCTTGCTTCTGTCCACAGTGCAATTTCATTTGGTTGACTGTGTAGAATGGATTTTAGTGAAGTCAAGTCAATACACTTCTTCAAACAAGGAGCCCATTTCTACAACCACTGGCTCAAGATAAAAGAGATTGTAGACAAAAGGAATTTCTCCATGGATGAAGCTCGCTGTATATACCTGGGATCAACTGAGGGGGACTTTTCTTCACTGATCTCTTCTGGAGTTTAAGATTACTGCTGATTTCATTGGCCAGGGGCCCTTCTATGATCAGGGAAAGGAAGAGAGTGCAGAACAGTAGGTGCATCTGAAACATAAATCAGAAGAGTATATCACATTTTGGAAACATTGCCAATAAATGGCCATTTTATCAATTCCCTTTCCCTCTGTCCTTGCTAGTTGCTCTTGTATTTTAAACACTTGTCTTACATATTAAAGAACAAAGAATAAACTTTTATACAGACATTTTTTTAAAATATTTAGCTATAGGTAAGTATGGATGGAATTAGAAAAAAATGGGTCAATTTGAATAATAGGAAATAAGAAAAAAAGTGCCAGGCTTTCAAATATCAAATGCACACTGCATAAGCTGTTTTGAAGACAACAATTCCCCATTAAATAAGTCACCAATGCAACTTACTCTTAAGTAACTGTATATAAAATCATAATCTGAATGATTAGATCAAATTGGTAACTTACTATGAATAACTGATTGAATTGAATTGTACAGTGTGGAGGAGACAGATTTATATTTGTTCATTGCTTCTGCAATGCTTGGAGAGAAGGGATTATTTCCATTACAAGCCTTGCAGCCAATTAGAGTGGAGGAGTTGCCTACAATGAGATGAAGCCCAGAAGGTGAACTAGATGTGGCTGCTAGGGCCAACATAACTTTAAATCTGTAGCAGAAAAAGATGAGTGGAAGTTTGTCTTCTTGGGCATGGGAAGATTATGCATTTCAGACTGCTTTTAGGATTATCATATACAAAATGTAGCTCAATTTTTACTCCTAAAAGATGGCTTTTAGAGAAATCACTGTGTCGGTCTACTATAAATAATAAAGTATAAATGACATGGCTACTGAGCAAAAATAGAGGTACTGATTTTAAGCTGAAAAGTATGAGTAAAATTTCACAAGGATATTATCTGCCCTTCTAAAAGACAACATCTATCCACAGGTCATGTTATTTAAGCTGCATAAAATATTGAACTCTTACTGATTATGTTTATAATGGAAACAACTTACCTTGGGATCTCTTTCAGAAGTCCAAGGCTTTTGATGTGCAATTGCTGCCCTATTTATATAATTAACAGAGAAAAAACAAGAGGGTTACCGGGTGGGACTTCTTTTGCAAAGAGAAAAATCCTAATTGGGTAGTGATGCAAGTTTCATAAGTCATTGAGAATGTCCATTTCTGATTATCACAAAGTGGCACCTTGAGAATGATTTATGGAAAGTATATCTCATGAACCTTCCAGTTTCTAAAGCAAATATTTGAGCAGAATTTTCAGGTGTTCTTTTGACACTCCGTCTCATACAGATGAACATACAGATTTTTTCAGAAGCTTACAACTGGAGCTCAAAGAGTTCAGCCCTCCATCCTACTCCTGTCTGCCCAGTGATGTTCAGAGCCACACAGGTTCTGAAAACGCTGGTTTTGTAGAACCACCTTAATTAAAGTACCTGTAGAAAAATGAGCATCCATTTAGTTTATTCCCTTGGAAAGACATCTTGTTAATGACCATTATCACACCTTCTGGCACTGAATTCAATAAATATGTGTTGCATGAAGGAATGCTTTCTTTTTTCTGGACCAAATCAATTTTATTGCATACTTCTGCTGTTACAGAAAGAATTAGGAAAATTCTGGTTAACTTGTTTTTTTTTTTCATCTTGTGCATAATAGATGATTTTATTGTTGTATAACTGATGGTTTTATTATTGCTCTAAAATGTCAAATGTTTCAGCCTTTTATAATAGAGAAACTGCCCAACATTCTGAGTTTTTTTGCTCTATTCTGTTTCTTTTTGCCACTATGTAGTAATGAGAAAGAATGAAAATAACACAGAAGTAACCCATTCTGCCTGGGTATTTTAACAGCAGAGGCAAAGTCTAACTACTATGGAAATTCTTACAGAAAGAACAATATAGTAGAACATACTGTGTTGTTTTAGTTTCCCCAAATTCACAATTTTCCCTTTCCTATAAAATTATTTTCTTAGTCTGGCAAAAGTGCTTAACTGCAGGTAAATTTGGCAGCCCATGTTCTTCTAAATGATGTAGAATTATCAGAATGAGATTAACAGAATCTTGTCTTCTAATATTTCATATTATTTAGTCTTCAGAGAAAAAAACCTTTTAGCTGGTTCATACCCAGTAGTTATAAGAAATACTATGGATAGCTCATGTAACATTTATATTCAGTCATTGATTTCCAACACAGTAGGTAATCATCTGGCTGGTAAATAATTACATAACTCCATGTCATTTTTATATGCGCGCACACACACACACACACACACACACACACACACACACATATATATATATATATGTTTTCTGAGGTTTTCGCGGGTGTTTGTATGTAGGTCTTTAGTTATTCGGGTTTTCTCCCGCGTAGAATTAAAAGTACCTTGGCAACGTTTCGACGAAGTCACATTCGTCATCTTCAGGCTGGTGTCTTCAGCTTCGTGCTTCTAAGAGTATATATATATACATATATATATATGTAGGTCTTCGTGCTTCTAAGAGTATATATATATACATATATATATATGTAGGTCTTTGGTCATTCGGGTTCTCTCCCATGTAAAATTGGAAGTGTCCTGGCGACGTTTCGACGGTCACATTCGTCATCTTCAGGCTGNATATATATATATATATATATATATGCACATCAAAGGATAGCAAGGCTACACTTCAGGAATTGGATTTGTATAATCACCATCATATTCATCTTTGCATAAGTTTCTACTTAGATACTATGTATAATTCAGAATGAAAGGTTTGACCTCAAGAAGTTTTAAAGCTGATGTTTACATTATCAATGGCACTTAGACTTATATACCCACCCGTAGCACTTTACAGCTCTCTCTATTTACAATGTAAGCATATTGCCCTCAACAATCTGGGTCCTCTTTTTACCAGCCTCAAAATGATGAAAGGCTGAGTCAACCTTGAGCCCCATCAGCATCGAACTCCAGGCTGTGGGCAGAGTTTGCCTGCAATACTGCATTGTAACCACTGCACCACGAAGACTCCTTGATTAACCTCCTGATAGCCTCAAGAAGTTTAATGCCATCTAACGGGGACATTTGGGGCCTTCTGGATCCTCCTAGAATGGAATACTACTCCCAGATAGTTAAAGCTATGGATTGTGGATCTGTTCTGTTCTCTTCCTTTTAATGATCCATCCTTGGAGTTTTCAATTTTGATTCTTAGAGATTGCTGGCCAGTGTGTTCTGCTTGTAATACTGAATTGTAACCCTTACTGCTCTTTGACTCCATAGATGCATACAAAATGACATTATCCATAAACAAGATTATGGGAATATTGCACTCTGCATGGAAATGTGAGTTTCTTAGAATTTGTTTTTTTAGTAGTGATTTCATTTAAATTACAATAATTAAAAATAATAAACTAAAAGAATAAAAAGAAAGACAGAAGATGCAGAAAAGAAAAAAGAGGAAGAAAAATAGAAAAGAAAGGAAAGAAAAAAGAAAGATATAATACAGGAAAAGAAATGACTTTGTCCCTCATCACAATAAGGATAAACAATTTTATACACATATTAAAGTTGCCAAGTCTGAAAAGCATTATCTATACCATTTGAAATATTAATATGCAGACAGGAAAGAGCAAAGATAAACAATTCAGATAAATATATATGTATACTTAATGTGAAATATAAAATTCCTTACATAAAAACTCAGAATTTCCATCTAGAAAAACTCCAGTACAGTAGTCTTTTAACTAGAGAAGCTAACTGGATGACTTTCAGACATTCTTTTAACCCAAACTGTCTTAAGGTTTCACTCTCTAATGACTTTATCCATATATTGCTCATTATGACTGTATTTTATTCTTTTTCTAGGTTAAAAAGGCAGATATTATTATATCTTATGTAAATCTTATGTAATAATATCTGCCTTTTTAATCTAGAAAAAGAATTGACAACAGGGACAGAATAGAATGCAGTAATAATGAGCAATATATGGATAAAATCTGGATTTTAGATCTGGATGACTATTGTTAAAAGCAAGAAACAAAATTGTTCTGAATTCATCTAAGAAGATAAAATTGTGCTGTCAGCTCATGATAGGAAGTATAAGAGATTATACCTGGCAATTTGAATCTGTGTGGGATTCATCTCTTCAGCTAGGACTGTCTCCAGAATTATAACTGAGCTTACATATAACTGTCAAGAGCCAATACAGTATTGACAATAAGGAGAGAGATCCTGACCCTGAAGTTAATAAAGATCTGGAAATCCACATGTTATACATTCATGTTAAGGTTCAAGGTCTTCTTCAGGTTGTCAAAAACTCAAAATTAACCCATGCTGTGCATCAAAACCCAGTATTTTTTTTAGGTACTTCATAACCAAATGGATGACACTTGTACACTTTTCCTCCTTCTCTCCTCATTTCTCAGCATGTATTCCTCAAGAATCCATACAGATTCTGTGGAGGAAAAAAAGATTGCACTTTTGCCTAGCTGGATCAAAAGATTGGCTAAATTATCTTACTTCTGCTTTTCAGAATTTGAAACTGGAGATTTTTTTTATTCCTTCCAGGAATGGAATGTTGACAAACCTTGCAGCTGTTCCCTTCCATGTGGATCACTTCCATGTCCATAGGCCTTTGTTCCAAACATTTATTCTACAACCTCCACAGACAACAATCAAAGAAATATTGGTAGCATATTTTTCATTAGCATAGTACTACAGTTAGCACTGAAAGAGTTGCTACAACCTCATTGCTACAGCTTCAAATTTTAATGAACCTGGCAGCTCTATTTCATCACAATATTTTAACGTTTTCTTTTATTTCTCTGTTTGTTTTTATGGAACAATTTAGTAATCCAAAAGGAGATTGAAGTGGGCATCAAGTATTTATGTTTCTCAAGATTGCTTGAGAAAACCAAATAAAAGAAGGGGCTGCTGCATTGGGTAAAATAGCATCTGTTCACAGGCCACAGAAAGAGACTGGCTTTCTTTTGTATATGGAGTTTGTGGTAATTATTTTATTTATTCAGTGATCTTTCTTTTGTCTTTCCTCTATGAGCTCAGGGAGTATTCACAATCTCCCTCTTCAATTTCTTTCTAAGATTCCTAGGATTTCCATGGCAAAAAAAATATTTTTGTTCAGCATCTCTCTCTCTCTCCTAAAAAGGGTCTGAAAAAAAGCTTAAAGTAAGTAGGTTTCTTTTTTCCTGCCTTTCAAGAGAAATAGGAAGTATCTTTGGAAATGGATGATCCAGTTAAAATTCTTGCGAATTCTGGAATCTAAAGACAATGCAACTTTCGAACCCTAGCTTTGACATTATAACTTTCTGTTTGTCCTACAATTACATTCTATTTTTTCTTCAAAATTAAAAACCCCTAGATTCTGTTATTGGTTTTAAAATGATTCCATCTTATTTTAAAAGCACTGGAATATAACATTTAACATTAGTATTTTTGAACATCTATTATCTCTTGGACATTTGAGAAGATGCTCTGTGGCAAGCTCACATAACACTTCTGAAGGCAGTTTAATTTTCCTTCTTTTGTATGCTTCTCTTGCTTCTCTCAAAATGGTTCTGCATCTTCTAATCACATGTGAGCTGGCAGCTGGTGTATAGCCAGGTGGTCAGGTTAATGTGCCCTCCAAAAGTGGTTAAGTCAGCAGGCACACATATTTTCAATTCAGAATAGAGCTGGAAGGACCTTGTAGGTCTTATAGTCCAACCCCCTGCTCAAGCAGGAGACTTTATACCATTTCAGACGAGTGACTGTCCAGTCTCTTCATAAAAGCCCCCAGTGATGGAGCACTCACAACTTCTGAAGGCAAGCAGTTCCACTGGTTACTTGTCCTCACTGTTAGGAAGTTTCTCCTTAATTCCAAGTTGCTTCTCTCCTTAATTAGTTTCCATCCATTGTTTACTGTCCTGCCTTCTGATGCATTGGAAAATAAGTTGACCCCCTCTTCTTTACCCCTAGACCTTCTTTTCTCTAGATTAGGCATACAAATTCTGCAAATGTTCTTCATGTTTTAGTCTCCAAGCCTTAAATCATCTTAATTGCTCTTCTCTGCACTTTTTCCAAACTCTTAATATTTTTTGTAATGTAATGCCCAAATCTGGACACCATATTCCAGGTGTGGTCTTACTAAGATTTTATAAAGTGGTACTAATACTTCACATGATTTTGATTCTATGCCTCTGTTTATGCAACCAAGGATTGTATTAGTTTTTTTGGCTGCTGCCGCATACTACTGGCTCATATTTAAGTGATCATCTATTAGGAATCCAAGGTTATTGCTTCTCAGCCAGATTTTTCTGAGTCAGTTATTGCTTCTGAGCCAGATTTTGCCTAATCTGGACTTGTACCTTTAGTTTTTCCTGCCCAAATGTAAAACCTTGCTTTTCTCCACATTAAATGTCAATTTGTAGGATAGATCCCTTGTTCAAGTCTGTCAAGATCTTTTTGGATCCTGAGTTTGTCTTCTGGGGTGTTGGGTATTCTTGCTAGCTAGTATCATC